CCCCAAAACCCCAAAACCCCAAAACCCCAAAACCCCGAGAGGTGGTAGAATTGTTGAAGTAGTGTTGGATTTTGATGTGAGAGGGTTATTCGAGAAGTTTCTTCCCAGATTCCATTGTGTCATCGTGGTCTTCTAATTTGTAGAATTCAGAGTTTCTGTTACCTTTTGTGTATTCAGCTTCAACAGTAATATGATCTTGTCTCTTTGGTTTCTTTGGGAAGAGTACGTACTTCTCAAGGTTCATGAATGGGACTTCTCAGATGAGGGTCAGTGGGATTCCTACTAAGAAAGAAATAACAGTACTTCCAATAGCAAAGAACCATTGAGAAGTTGAAGTAACATAGACACTGGCTCTCAAGTCATTCAGGAAGTGCATCATTACGACACAATGAATCATATAAACCATGTAATTGAGTCTGGCAAGTACTTCAAACATCTCAGCTCCCAAGAATCCTTTAATAACCCTAAGCCTTCCCACAAAAGTAGGAGCAATGATGAGGCCAACAGCAGCTACGAAGAAAGGTCTGGCTGTGAAGTTGTATAAAGAAGAAAGCCATAAAGGCCAGCAGTTTCCTCCTGTAAAACTAGTTGGATCATTACATCCCCTGGCATAAGCTGCATTCGGGAACACATACAGAGCTGTGACTCCTACTCCAAATCAGCACACCAACAACGAAATCACCTGAGAGTTCTTCAAAATATCATAGCACTTATTAAACAACGTGCCTGACAACTCCTGGTACTTATCCCTACAAGTCAGCTCAAAGTAAGAGATTCCAAACAAGGCTCCCACAAAATAAGCACCCATTCTGGTCCAAGGCTTATTATACACATAATCTGCCACATCAGTCTTTTTGCTAGATCTTCCGTCCATAGATATATCCCAGACGAGCGACATGACTCCCATAATAACCATTGAAGCCAGCACAAGGAAGACGACTAGTAGCTTCCCAATCTTCCTGTTTAAGCAGTAGATAATAATGATTGGAGGACTGATAACAAAGAACTGCATGTCACACATAAGATACCAGACCCATCCAATACAAGTGCTTCCCATCTGCCATGGATACAGGTTGGCAATGAACAAAAAGTTTTGCCAGGGGTTTGCGAAACACGACTTATTCATTAAGTCCCAAGAAGTCCTACATCAATCGTTAATTTTCAACCAATCGTGAAATTACTAGAAAAGTTCGCAACAAAAGTATAATTAGCAATAGAAATGTAGCTAAATTTTCGGAAATAAGAGGAAATGGAAAAAAATATTAAGCACTTCAAAATATTAATAGAGATTCACAAGCAAGACTATCAGATCATACAATTTCTGGATAAATACTTTGAGTGGTTCACAGATAAGTTTACCAAAGTATTGAAGCTCTCAAGAAGGTAAGGATCCCGCCACAAAGATTTTACCAAATATATGAAAACTATTTGAGGAAAATTTTGAGAAATAGTAAACACGTCACTGCCTAATCCCCCAAACTGATCCCCCAAAACCCCACTTTGAACTCCTCCCAAAAACAGAGACTCAAGAGACCACTCACAAAAACACCTCAATAAAAACTGTCTGCTATTTCTGTGTGCACAGCAGAGGGAACTGGAGCTGTGCGGTAAGGGAAGTTAGAAATTTGGAGTAGGAATAGGAATAGGGAAAGTGGGAGTACCTGTATAATGGGCCGCTTCCGAGATATCTGACTACATACATTGTGAAGAATTGAATGTATATCATAGGGAAGATAAGTCTATAGTATCTGTGGAAATAGATCAACAGAGTGTTAACAATTCCAATCATTCCTCTCTTTGGATACATTTTTGATATCAATAGAGCGAATGTGAGGAAACCAGAGAGGAAGAAGAACGTATCAACAGCAAAAACTCCTCCTGGAACAATAGAGAACCAGTCACTATCATAAAGGACTTTTAAAGTTTGCCCATTCTTGACAGTAGAAAACATTACAAATGCAAATGAATGGCCAAGGATTACCCATCCAATACTGAGCACTCTGACACCGTTGAGCACATTCAATGTCTTATCACCTCCATCTTTAACGGTGAACAACTTAGAGAGGTTTACGATAGGATTCCAAGAATGTAGGGCTAGGGCCCACGTCATCTTTCTATCCTCAATCTTATCTGATCTGAAGTTTCCATTGTTTCCAAGATTAGTATAACTAATAAGCATACCTAGGAACCAGAGCAAGACGACAAATCCTGTCACAACAAGAACAATGATTCCTCCAGCAGACATTGACTCTGAAAGCACCTCCCTCGGAACCCCAACCTCCGCAACAACCTGCATATCCTTCGGCAAATATGGCTGGGCTTTTTGCTGCACAAAAGCCGATAAATCATTAAAACTCTCTTGACTAGCTCACTCTTGTGGAACACATAGCCCCATTTTCACTACAGCCATGCCTTCAGGCTGCATCACAAGACTCAGCATCACATACTCCAGCCCTTCAGTATGACACGACTCAAAATCTCCAAGTTCATTCGGCCCCTTTGCACTGTTCAGTGCTACTTTCACCAAGTCTCCAAGGCCTTCAGGGCTCAGAACCCTTCTAAGGTTCTTCAGGCACGGAGTGTCTTCTTCTTCAGCCCTGAAGTCAGGACTGGGGCTGGTGAAGACCAGGCTGAGGAGTAATGCTAGGAATACTAAAGTAAGTATTTTCATTTATTTATGCTATTTATATTAGTACAATTCTAGATTTTTATATAGGGGTTTTGGGGTTTTGGGGTTTTGGGGTTTTGGGG